ACTAATCGTGGCAGCTCTAATTGTGAATACTGTAAAAGCTTGAGAAAGTGGGTGCGTATACCAACATTCAAACTATATTGGCTCAATTTTGGCCAAAGACATCAGTCTGCATTGCAGTTCAGTGCTAGTGGACTGCTGAAAATCACACTGTCAGCTGTCAGTGCCTCAAATTCAGGCCACTGCTGTCTTCAGATTGCCATCCTAACCAATGCTAGCACAGTGATTTCATGCTACGGTAATCCTGAAAGTCTCCCCATAAATAAACTCTGTAGCAACACTGAGCTTGGGTTGAGTAAAACAGTATCTTAGAGAGTGAAACACAGACAAAGCAGACATTTCTGGTTGTAAGGACTGCAAGGAGTTGAATAAGGCGAAACAGGGTGCATGCTGGTATCTTGTTTCCCCCACTGGCATTGGTTTTATTTGATTAGCTAGGAAGCTGGAAATATGCAGGTGTTGGTGGACTACAGCTATGTGAAACAGGGCTGATGACTGATGGGAAGCAGATGTGTATGTGGGAAACTAATCAGGTGATGAGCTAAAATGGGAAATCCACAGTGGAAAACCAGTGGGCAGTGAGGAAATGCAGGCTTCAGGATCTCAGGAAACAGATTTTGATGCAAATCATAAGACACTGACGGGATCTTTTAACCAGTATGTCGGTCAAAAATTAAAATGCATTCACTGTATTTCTTCTCTAAAACAGCATCCAGATTTTTTTAAAAACTTTTTTAGACATTAATGTTTTTAATGTAGGGTTTGCAAACTGTTGTCAACATTTTTGTGGGCTTTTAGAGACTGATCAATTCACCTGACAATAGAGGTTTCTCATGTGATACCATCCAACCATGGTCAAAGGTTATCTGCCTTATTGTATATAGTATAACCACCAGTCAAATGAGTTCATGACTGGCTGGTCAGAAAGGAAGGCAGACAAAGATTTACCAAAAAAAAGTAATGTCAGACTAACTTTGCAGCACTTAAAACACAGCTACAAGAAAGAGACATTAAACTATATTAACAAACAAATCAACAAACAAAAAACATATATATATATATATATATATATATCAATTACTATAATCATATAAAAAATAAGGCTTTTTAATGCATTTTAACCAAGCTATGTTTGTAAAGGAAGAGCATGAACAGTACAGAGGATGGACGTGGGGCTCACACCCCAACTAGCAACTAGGTACACCAACCTCATCCTCTAACCTTATTACTCTGCTACACTTTCATTGCTGTTATACATATATGGTGTATAGGGATTTAGCCACTAGCCACGCTGGCTATGCCACGATTAAAAAGTTGCTGTCATATATAGTGTTTTGTTCTACATTTAAACAATAACTAAAGTTTGAACAATATATATGATTGCCTCTGTTTTGTTTCCACTCTTTTTTTCACACAGAAACCCAACAGTACTACACCAGTTCTGCTGCCCAGCCCCAGAGGCTCCTGAGGGGGAGACCTCCACTGCCTGTGTTCCCAGGTAAGATGACTGCATCCTTGTAACATCTGCACAAATGTTTATTTTTTTCCTTTTTCAATTTTTTTTAATTTAAGTTTATTTATTTGTTCAACTTTGATTGCAGCCACGTATCATGCATCCTTTTTATAGCAGTGCTGCCGTAGCTACACTAGTCAACACAAGTACCCCAGCAGTGGTATCTAAGTTGAAGTGGTTGTAACTACTTCAGGTTCTTCCAGGACAAGGTGCATTCCATCCCCTTCATGATCTCATCTATCTTAAATAGACACCGAGCCACAGAGAACGAGTCACTCCCCATGGTTTTAAATGTCCCTTGTCACAACAGCTTGGGTTTTGGGTCTTGGTGTGGTTGAGATTGAACTTGTTTCCCGAGTGAATTTAAGATACACTGGATACGATTTGTTATTTCCAGCGACTGTTGCCATGTTTGTCAGGCTACTGTGATAAATACAATGAAACACAGTAATATGATCTATATCAGTAACATCCCATTTTCTGGACAATGGTCAAGTACTTGCGAAAACTGAACAACTGGGGAAATATTACATTGGATTTAGTCGGCAAAGCAGAATGATAATGCTGATGATATCTTTTTATGACAGATTAGCCCATGCAATTACTTAGTACTGGTGGTAAATTACAAATAGGCTCTTTATTTTAAATCACGTTTTCCATGTAATTTGAAAGCTCTGAAGTCAGTTTGATGGGGTAATTTACACCCACTGTCCTGGGAAATATGAAAAAACACAGCAACTAATAATTAGCTGCTGTAATGACTGTACTTTTGTGGGACTATTTTGGCTAGGCAGTTTTGAGGACGCATAATAATCAATACTTAATGTTGTACAGGCAGTCTCTAAGATATATAATTAGACACGTAGGAACAAAAAAAATAATGAAAGGCTTTGACAAGGTATTATCTGGCCCCTTTCAAGCTAAATTGACAGTGCCTCCTGGTTATATTTTCCCCAAGTGCACTCTACCACCAGAATGTGAAAGAAAATTATGATATTCATCTAGCCAAGGAGCATCAATAGCAATTAAGCCATCCGCCCCAAAATGGTTTGTTTGTTGTTGACTGCACGTGTCACAGAATTGCTTTGCCGCATTGTCTGAGCTTGGCAGAAAATAGCAGATAAGCAAACGCCCATTGATAGCAAATCATAGCCCCTGCAGTGCTGGACACAGTAAGTAGCAAAAGGCTGCAGACCAACACAATCACACTCTAAATACCTCTCAGGCCTGTGTAGTTGAGAAGCAGAGGAAGGAAGAGTTGTGAATATTATACAAGGTTTATTTGCTGTGAAAAATGGGCTTCAGAAAGCCTGCCGACTTACTGAAACCCAATATCTTGTACTGGATCTTTTGTTATAAAAGTCACTTCAGAGCCTTTATTATTTAATACATGCTGTGATTCTATTGGAAGGGATTAAAGGTTCACAGGAGTGACTCTCATGGGTTTAAAACTGGTGAGGGGTGGGGCAATTCAAAGAGCAGAATTGATCAAGTTCACCGGCTTGAACTTTACTTGATAGAGGGTGTTTGGGGCTGTTGTGTTTTGTGATTGTTTTGTGCTTTGGGGCCATTAGCAAAAGGTACAAGCGAAGTGCACAGCAGAAGGTCTTTGCTAACTTGTCAACCCCTCCGTCCCTGCAAAACACCCCCTCCCCTCTGTGCCAGTATCTGAAGCAAACCACTTCAAAGCAGGACTCTCTGGGGCCCACACGGAAAGCAGCTTGTGGTTTTGTTTTGCCCTTTCTCGTTTCTTCTTGTTGTGTCTTATCTGTTTTTGAAAGCTGTATTCTGTTGTCGTTGATTTCTATATGTCCGCATTGTTGTCAGTGATTGGTCGATCATTTACTCACACGGCATCATCGCATCACATAACTCCACATGGCACCCACGCCTCATTGCATCCATCGTCATTCATGCTCACGTCATTCGGGCTTGTTTCTTCACTGTGGTCACACTAAGTTCAAAAGAGCCATGTATGAATATTACCATGTAACTGAAGTCTTGAGTGTGTTTGTAAAACTGCCATAACACATACTCTGTGTACAGTAGGGTCTTTCCCATGTTGGAATCTGGTGCGCCTCCTTGTCGACACATGTATTGCATCTGTGTTCATGTGAAAAAAGGAAGTTCTTATCATGTTGCATGCTTCGGCTTGGCAGTGATCAGAACATAGCTCCCTGTCTGTGTGCGTGGGCGTGTGCTGATGTACATGTGTGGGTGGCTGCGTTTCACTTTGGTACACACATCATGGATTAATTAATATGCATGTAATGCAGAAAAATATACAACACTGTCCATCTAATCAACAAAGACATCCATAATAACAGACTGCCCTATCACTTGCAACAAACACTTTGATTTCTTACTCGTTGTTCTTTACACCGTGCTATTCAGAGTTACTTTTTTTTTTTCCTTGAGAACTGACTACATTTGTCGTGGCATAGATTCAACAAGTTTCTGAAAATATTCCTCAGACAGTTCGTTCCATATTAACAGGATAACATTCCAATGTAGGTCCAGAATTGCTGGCTGCACATCCATGATGTGTATCTCTCATTCCACCGCATCCCAAAGGTGCTCTTCTGTTGCTGTAGCCCATCTGCTTCTAGATTGGGTGTGTTGTACATTTAGAGATGCTCTTCTGCATACCTTGGTTGTAATGAGAGTTTATTCGGGTTTCTGTTGCCTTCCTGTCAACTCAAAGGAGGATGACCTCTGACATCACCAGGGCATTTTTGCATAGATAGCTTCCACTTTACTGGATATTTTCTCTTTTTCAGACAGTTCCAGACTTTAAAAATGATTGGGTGGGGAAATCCCAGGCGATCAGCAGTTTCTGAGATACTCAGAGAAACCCATCTGCTACCAAAAACCATGCAATGTTCAAAGTGACTTAAAAGACCTTTCTTCCCTGTTCTTGAGCAGGTCCAAGCCTACCTGCCTAAGTACACCGAGACGCTGCTGTGTGATTGGTTGATTAGATATTTGACATAATAATAAACTGGCTAATGAGTATATGTTTGTAACTGTATCAGGGAAGGCTGTAATTCAGAAATCATGAAACTTTTAGGAGATAATCCTTATATTTTTGACTTACCTCTGTCTTGAGGATGATGATGCTCATTTTGAATTTAACGCCAGGAGCACCACTTATTCTTGTGTGTCCTAACATACATGTTTGCAGTAGTATTTCGCTATGGTACACATGGCATAGATTAGACATAATGCATAAAATGCAGGGAAACATGCAACATTGGCGATCAGCAAAGAAATCCTTAAAAATAGGCTGCCATGTCACTTGTACTGAACACTTGGATTTCTTACTTGTTTTTTTTTCCATACTTATAATCCTTAAGGGTGAAGCATGCCATATATGCACTCACCAACCACTTCATTAGTTACACCTATTTCTACTGGGTTGGACCTTATTTTGCCTTCAGAACTACCTTAATTCTTCACGGTGTCGATTACGTTTGTTTAACTATGGGCTACTTGAGCTTCGAGTTTCTTGGCTTTTTGATAAATTAATAACAATACAATTATGTCAAAGAAGGTCAGCTTGAACTTATTGGCAGTGAAGCAGTGGGTGTACAAGTTGACATTCTGTGGAGGATTATTCATGGTATGCATGACATCAGAGATCATCGAAAATCACAAATTACATTTAATCTAAAGATATTTGTGCCGTGTCTGTCTGTCGTGAGTTATGACTCTGACGAGGAGTGTGAAATCTGATGCAAACTGCAAATGGTGCAGACTATACTGAAACAAGAGCGAGTTGTCTTCAGCGATAAAAGGGTTTCACAGCAGAAAAGACCTCATTAACATATAAAAAAGACAACTCATTGCCTCGTTGTGCATTGCCCCCGCTTCGGGATGAAGCCTTCGTTCACTCACTAAACCTGACAAAGTGCAATCATTGATGTTTCATTAGCACCGCTCTTTCTACTCTGAGTAATTCAAGCCTCTGGGTCAGAGGGGTCAACTTAGAAAAGGGCAGCACCATGAGCCTCTATAAGAACTAATTGTACTGATTTGAAGCTTTGTTTGCTCTTGGTTTGTGCACGTCTTTACCATAGGAGTTTTTTTCTAATTAGCCAGGAAGCAGGGAATACACAGGCATTCACAATGCTGTGAATATAGCATAATTTAAATGAGCAGAAAGTGGAAAGTTGAGAACTGAAAAGGAAAGTGAAGATTTTACTGTCACGTATAATGAGGACTCTGAGGAGGCTGGAAATTCATTGTGACAGTGTGGTCACTCTTGCCATGCATTAAGGAGGCCCCAGAGGGTTTAGAGACGATAGGTGATCTGTATTCGGGGTCACAAAGTCAGATATATAATCAGTCATTGGAGGGGGTGATTGGAAGGGATGGCCACAGCCTTTCAATTAGTAGTGTGAGCCATCTTTTGCTGGAGTGTGCTAAACTTGCACTCGGGAGTACTGTTGATACTTTTACAGTCCCATAGGGTACCTTAAGTTTAACTTTCTGCTTTACAGCAGAACTGAGAATTGCTGTAGTCAACACACAGGGCCTCGGGAACCTAATAAATGGAAGGAAAACATGATTATTAGAATATTGCAGCACAGAGAAAGGCACAGCAGAAGATGGCACTCGGAAAGATCCCCAATGGACAAGCTGCAGGTAGAATTTGCTGTGTGTACAATGATTGAGTTTTATTTGAGTCTCTAAGCCTGTAACTACAAATGCGTACCAATCATGAAATCTCAGCTAGTCAGCAGCCTTGGTTTGATTTGAATGGAAGCACAACAAAAAGCAGTATGCACTTTCTCTTAAAAACCCCTCCCAGAGCATACATTTATATTCACACTTTGATGCCACAGTGTGAAGTTTACTCAAGTGTTTGGGATCACATCCAAAATCATTTGTTCCAAATGTTACAGGGAATCTGCACTCTTACTTCTGAACTATTTTTTCATTTATTTGTTTATTTATTTTTTGCAGAAGGTGCTAACAATAGT